GTTGGCATGTCTGAGGGTCAGTGTGGACTTGTTGAGCCAAAGGGCCTGTTTACATACTGTAGGGATTCTATGATAGTCAAAAGCAAATATGTCAGCAGCTCTCAGGTATCTGTAAGAACAATAGGGTTGTAATGGTCAGGGATTTTTACTTTCCAAACATAGATTGGGCCTGTCGTAGTGTTAAGGGCTTGGATGGAGAGGAATTTATTAAGTATGTGTAAGAAAACTTTGTTATTCAATATGTGGATGTACCTACTAGAGAAGGAGCAATACTTGACCTTCTGTTGGGAAATAAGGCAGGACAGATGACTGAGGTGTCAGTGGGGGAGCACTTTGGGGCAAGTGATCATAATTATATTAGTTTTAAAATAGTTATAGAAAAGGATAAAATGGATCAAAAGTTAAAGTTCTAAATTGGGGTAAGGCCAATTTTGATGGTATTAGGTAGGAACTTTCAAAAGTTGACTGGAGGAGGCTATTCACATGTTTGGAAAGTGCGAGGCTTTTTAAAATGAGATAACAAGAGTCCAGAGACAGTATGAGTGTGAGGGGCAAGGCTGGTATGACTAGAGAAATTGAGGCTCTGGTCAAGAAAAAGGAAGAGGCATATGACAGGTAAAGACAGCTGCAATTGAGTGAATTCCTACATGAGTCTAAGGGCATTCAGAGTATACTTAGGAGGGGAATTAGGAGGGCAAAAAGGGGACACAAGATGGATTTGGCAAATAGAGAATCTCTTTGGATTCTCCTTTACTCTAAGTACAGGCAAAAGAGTAATTAGGGAGAGGATAAGGCCCTGTTATGGACCAGATAAGATTTATAAAGAAGGTAGCCTAGACGCCAACTTTTTCTTATTTTAAAGATAAATGTGAGGTCATGTGTTCCAGGTGCAATTCAATAGGTCGAACTACTCCATGTTAAGCAAAACAATTTATTCAAACACTATTGTCAAAATACAACACAAGAAAGCAGAACTTGGAATAACTTAACCCTGTTGGAAAACTTAACCGAATAACAGATTATTTGACTAGTACTATTCAAATATCATAACATCCCATAAACCCACCCATTGGAAAAGACAAATTCACAGGCAACTCCTGTAGCAGGCAGAGAATCACCAGCTTTTAGTCGGAACCAAGAGAGGGAAAAATAGCTTTCACTTGTTCAAGACCCCAAAAGCAACTGCTGAAAGCGAACTAAAAGTCCTGGCTCTGTGAGAGCTTGACCAGCTGCTTCTATTATTCCAACAAATATCCTCTAAAGCTGCAGCATCATCACAGCCCTTTAAAGATCCACCTATGGAGCCGCAAGAGATGGGTGAGATACTAAACAAATATTTTGCATCAGTATTTACTGTGGAGGGGAACTTGGAGAAATAATACTGATGCCTTGAAAAGAGTTCTTATTACAGAAGAGGAGGTGCTGGAGGTCTTCAAATCCATAAAGGTAGATAAATCCCTGAGACCTGATCAGGTATTTCCCAGAACTTTGTGGGAATCTAGGAAAGAGATTGCTGGGCCCCTTGCTGAGATATTTGTATCATGGACAGCCATGGGTGAGATACTGAAAAACTAGAGGTTGCCTAATGTGGTGGTATTGTTTAAGAAAGGCTGTACGGGAAAGCCAGTGTGCCACAAGATCACTGTTGGGTCCACTGCTTTTGGCCATTTATATAAATGATCTGTGTGAATATAGCAGGCGTACAGTTCTAGAGTATCGGAGGCTGAGTGGTGACCTTACAGAAGTTTATAAAATCATGGGGGTCGTGGATAGGGTAAATTGCCAAGGTCTTTTTCCTGCGGTGAAGGAGTCCAAAACTGGAGGACACAGTTTTGAGGTGAGAGTGGAAACATTTTAAAAGGACCTGAGGGGTAACTTTTTCATGCAGAAGGTGGTGCATGTATGGAATGAGCTTCCAGGGGAAGTGGTGGAGGCAGGTAAAATTGCAACATTTAGAAGGCATCCAGATGGGTCTATGAATCTGAAGGGTTGCGAGGGATATGGGCCAAATGCTGGCAAATGGAACACGGTCACATTGGGATGCCTGGTTAATGCAGGCAAGTTGGACCAAAGGTCCGTTTCCAAACTGTGTGACTCTGATTCCCTAGAGTGGGACCAAACCCCAACTTAGAGATGGGAGTGCTATTAACTTAACCACAGATATTGTAGGTAATGCATTCTAGGATAACATTGACTGAACACTAGACCAAGATTGTGGAATATAGAGTAAAGTTGCTGAATACATTTCTTTTCCTTCTGAACAAAAAACAAAGAAAATTACAGCACAGGAACAGTCCCTTCGACCCTCCAAGCCTGCGCCGATCCAGATCCTCTATCTAAACCCGTCGCCTATTTTCCAAGGATCTGTATCCCTCTGCCCCCTGCCCATTCACGTATCTGTCTAGATACATCTTAAATGACGCTATCGTGCCCGCCTCTACCACCTCCGCTGGCAATGCGTTCCAGGCACCCACCACCATCTGCGTAAAGAACTTTCCACGCATATCTCCCTTAAACTTTTCCCCTCTCACCTTGAAATCGTGATCCCTAGTAATTGAGTCCCCCACTCTGAGAAAAAGCTTCTTGCTATCCACCCTGTTTATACCTCGCTTGATTTTGTAGACCTCAATCAGGTCCCCCCTCAACCTCCGTCTTTTTCATGTAAATAATCCTAATCAACCCAACCTCTCTTCATAGCTTCGTCTGTTTTCAGTCGCCTAGACCTTATGTATGCTTCCTTTTTCCACTTTGCTAGTCTCACAATTTCACCTGTCATCCATGGTTCCCCAATCTTGCCCTTTCTATCCCTCATTTTCACAGGGACATGTCTGTCTTGCACTCTAATCAACCTCTCTTTAAAAGCCTCCCACATATCAAATGTGGATTTACCCTCAAATAGCTGCTCCCAATCCATGTTCCCCAGCTGCTGCCGAATTTTACTATAGTTGGCCTTCCCCCAATTCAGCACTCTTCCTTTAGGAACACACTCGTCTTTTTCCATGAGTATTCTAAACCTTACGGAATCGTGATCACTATTCCCAAAGTAATACCCTACTGAAGCTTCAACCACCTGGCCGCGCTCATTCCCCAACACCAGGTCCAGTATGGCACCTTCCCGAGTTGGACTACTTACATACTGCTCTGGAAAACCTTCCTGGATGCTCCTTACAAATTCTGCTCCATCTAAACCCCCAACGGTAAGTGAATCCCAGTCAATGTTGGGAAAATTAAAATCTCCCATCACCACCACCCTGTTGCTGCTACATCTTTCCATAATCTGTCTACATATTTGTACCTCTATCTTACGCTCGCTGTTGGGAGGCCTGTAGTACAGCCCCAGTATTGTTACTGCACCCTTCCTGTTTCTGAGCTCTGCCCGTATTGCCTCACTGCTCGAGACCTCCATAGTGCCCTCCTTTAACACAGCTGTAATATCCTCTTTGACCAGTAATGCAACTCCTCCAACCCTTTTACCTCCCTCTCTATCCTGCCTGAAGCATCTATATCCAGGGATATTTAGTTGCCAGTCTTGCCCTTCCCTCAACCAAGTCTTAGTAACAGCAATAACATCATACTCCCAGTTACTAATCCAAGCCCTAAGTTCATCTGCCTTACCTACTACACTTCTTGCATTAAAACAAATGCACCTCAGACCACCTGTCCCTTTTTGCGTTCATCATCTGCTCTCTGCCTACTCTTCCCCTTAGTCACACTGACTTCATTACCTAGTTCCTTACAGACTTTAGTTACTACCTCCTTACTGTCCACTAACCACCTCATTTGGTTCCCATTCCCCTGCCACATCAGTTTAAACCCTCCCCAACAGCATTAGCAAAATCAGCCCCTAGGACATTGGTTCCAATCCTGCCCAGGTGTAGACTGTCTGATTTGTAATAGTCCCACCTCCCCCAGAACCAGTCCCAATGTCCCAGAAATCTGAATCCCTCCCTCCTGCACCATCTCTTAAGCCACTCATTTATCCTGCCTATTCTTTCATTTCTACTCTGACTAGCACGTGGCACTGGTAGCAATCCTGAGATTACTACCTCTGAGGTCCTACCTTTTAACTTGGCTCCTAACTCCCTAAATTCTGCTTGTAGGACCTCATCCCGTTTATTACCTATATCATTGGTGCCTATGTGCACCACGACAGCTGGCTATTCACCCTCCCCCTTCAGAATGTCGTGCAGTCGATCTGAGACATCCCTGATCCATGCACCTGGGAGGCAACATACTATTCGGGAGTCTCGTTTTCAACCACAGAACCGCCTATCTACTCCCCTTGCAATCGAGTCCCCTATGACTATAGCCCTTCCACTTTTTTTCCCGCCCTTCTGTACAGCAGAGGTAGCCACAGTGCCATGAACCTGGCTACTACTGCCTTCCTGCTTTTTTCTTTCTTCCTTTTGGTCACCCATTCCCTTTCTCCCTCAGCAATCCTAATCTGCGGTGTGACCAATTTGCTGAACGTGCTATCCATGACTTCCTCAGCATCGCGGATGCTCCAAAGTGAGTCCATCCGCAGCTCCAGAGCCGTCATGCGGTCTAACAAGAGCTGCAGCTGGACACACCTCTTGCACGTGTAGGAGTCCGGGACATCAGCCGCGTCCCTGAGCTCCCACATTGAGCAAGAGGAGCATAACACAGGTCTGGGATCTCCTGCCATTTTTACTCTTAAGCTTAACTTAGTGCTGCTATAATATCAACAACTGGATAAATGAAAAAAGTTTGTGCCAAATCACTCTACTTAGCAGCACACGAGAAAAAAAAAATGAAAACACTTACCTTATCAACACACCAGAGTCTTTTTTTTGGGTCAGAGGAGGAGGGTGGGTGGGAGACACTACATGTGTAGTATCTCGGGTTTAGCCACTGCCCAAATATGTCAGTTCACTCACCTTCCGAGAGCACAATTCGACCGCTCCCACTCAGCTGTGCTGCCAAAATGAAGGACTTAGCTTCCCAGCTGCCCCCAGGTCCTCGCTCTCACTGCTCCCGCAAAAAATGGAGGCCGCTGATTGCACGAGGTAAGTTTTTAACTGGGAAACTTACCTCCTGGCAGCCCCCTGGTGCTCGCTCTTACCGCTCCTACTGCTACTGCTGCAAAAAATGGAGTTCTGGTCTCTGCTGTCTTCCTGTCAGCCGATGCACTTTCTCCAAGCTGAATTTCCACACCTGTATTTGATGTTCCTTGAGCTGATTACTCAGCAGATGCTCATGCATGTGGTATTCTCCAGCGAACCCCCTCTGTTGTCAGACTTCCCTTTTAATCAGCTACCTTTGGGGAGGTAGTATGTCTTGGTATAGATGATGGTTTATTAAAGTTATGATGCTACTCAATACATTGTTGCTTCTGATGGGGGGTTGTTATCCACATAGTTACAAGCATAGTGTAAGTGTTCTAATTGCTTTAATGTAAACACATTTCCAGAATAGTTTTTCTTAAACTTCTTTAAAGGTGATCACATGTCAATGGTGCAATAAAAAAGGTCTCCTAGCAACAAGTGGCAACGATGGGACTGTTAGAGTGTGGAGTGTCACTAAAAATCATTACATCTTACAACAAACATGTGTCTTCAACAAAACGTGAGTAGCTCCTTTTTTGAAAATTAAGGATTATTTTAAGTTAACATATGTGGTACATTAAGTTTTCACAGCTAATGTTCAAAATTGCATTGCATTTTCATTTTCAATAGAGAAATTATTTCTGAAGACCTGGGCAGTCTGGGCTCTCCTTGTGAACCAAATTTGTGTCTCATTTGTTGGAGTATTAGTGGCAAATATATTGCAGCAGCACTAGAAAAAGTGGTGAACATCTGGCAAGTCACTGGTATGGCTCTTGATATTTTTGTATTTCTTAAAGCGCAATTCATATCTTTCCCGATCTTGATTAGAATGTAAAATAATGTGAAAGTAAAATGGTACAGCACAGATATCCATTTGATTTTGTTTTGCCACCATGAAATGTTTGTTCGCTAATGGTATTAAAGGGTAGGAAGTTCCCTGAACATAATGACATCCTAGCACCTTTAAAAGAAGTAGGTGCAACACTATTGGTTTATACTTCCAAAACTTCCTACATTTTGGAAAAGTCCCAGTAGATCTGAAAGGCACAAATGTAACACCTCTATTCAAGAAATGATGTGTCAGAGTGCAGGAAACTATATGTGAGTTAGCAAAATGGTGTTATTGGGAAAGTTCTGGAATTCATTCTTGAGGCATTTGTGGCAGCACATTAAGGAAATTATGGCACACGTTTGAGTCCTTGAGGATCTAGCCAGCAGAGTAGATAGAGGAGAACTAGTAGATGTCGTGCAGTTGGATTTAAAACCGTATTTGACAAAGTGCCATATCAAAGGTTGCCGCACAAAACCAGATTTGACAGTATTGTGAATAACATATTGGCATGGATAGAAAGTTGGTTAACTAATTTGAAAAGGGCAGTTGGGATAAAAGGATCTTTCAGGTTGGCAAAAGGTAGGGCACAACCGGAAAAACGGAATTCTCAATTTTTTACAATCTATATTATTAACTTGGATGAAGGGACCTGTTGTGCCAGATTTAAAGATGCAAAGAAAGGCAGAAAAGCAAGTTGTGAGATGGATCAAAGGGACAAGAAATGTTGACCGGAAATAATTTGCCAAATGGAATATAGAATGTGAAAATATGCCATGGAGCATAGAACATCACAATATCAGATGGCTGTTGCAATACAGAGGCATCTGGGTGTCCTCACACATGAATGATGAAAATTAGCAGTTAAGGCAAATTACACATTGGATTGTATTGTAAAATATTCTAAATGTATTATTTTAGGAAGCGTGACATGATCGAGGGGAATCTGCAACTGGAGATGCTTAAATAAGGGATGAAAAGGAATTTCCTTCTTAGAGAGTTGTTAATCTTTGGATTCACCATCCAGAGAACAATGGAGACTGGGTCATTGAATATATTCAAGGCTAAGTTAACATAGAACATAGAAATCGGAAGCGGGGTAGGCATTTTTGCCCTTCAAGTCTGGTCTGCCTTTCAATATGATGGCTGATCATCTGACTCAGTACCCTGTTCCCACTTTCTCCCCATACCATTTAATCCTTTTAGCTGTAAGAACTATATCTAACTCCTTCTCGAAAACACTTAATGTTATGGTCTCAAACACTTTGTGGCAGTGTATTTCACAGGCTTACCATTCTCCAGATGAAAAATGTTTTCTTCATCTCAGTCCTGAGTGGCCTACCCATTTCCTTGGACTGATATACAAGGTGTCAGGCAGTAAAATCAAGTTGAGAACATGGTCAGATCAGTCACAGAATTTAAGTACGGAAGAAGAGCTGCAACCCATGATGTCTATACTGGCTCCCAAAGAAGCTATCCAGCTCGGCCCATTCACCAGCCCTATCTCCATTACCCTGTAAATTTATCACTTTCAAATTTATATCCAACTCTCTTGAAAGTTTAGATGGAGTCTACCTCCACCTCTCTCCCAGGCAGCATATTCCAAATCCAAACAAATGAGTAAAGAAGTTTCTTCTCATCTTAGCTCTCGCTCTCTTGCTGATAGTCTTCAAATTGTGTGACCCCTAGTTACTGACATAGCAACTAGTGGAAACTGAATATCCTTCTTTGCCTTGTCAAAAGTGTTCATAATTTTCAACACCGTAATGAGGTCACCTCTTAATCTTCTGCAAGGAGAATACCCTCATCCTCCTTATCTAATCTTTCCTTCTATCTAAACTCTCATTCCTGGTATCATTCTCATAAATCTCCTTTGTACTCTGGGGCTTTAACATCCTTCCTTAAATAAGTTACTCAGAACTGAACACTGCTCCAAATGTAGTCTGACCAATGATTTGTAGCATTGCAACATCATTTCTTTGCTTTTAAACTCTGTGCCTCTATTTATAAATCCAAGGATCCTATAAAGCTTCTGAACAACTGTTTCAACTTGCCTGGCCACCTTCAGAGAATTAGGCACATAAGCCCCCAGATCCCTTTGCATCCATACTCCCCTCAAAGTTGTATAACTGTGCCTGTGTTGTGTGTTTCTTCTATGAAAATGCATTACCTCACATTTCTGTGTAACGAAGTTCATCTGCCAGGTGTGCTACCTGTTTGGCCAACTTGTCAATGTCCTTCTGAAGTCACTCAGCATTATCCTCACAATTCCCTATTCTTCCTAGCTTAGTATCATCTACAAATTTAGAGTTTTCACATTTCTAAATCATTTATATAAAGAAACAGGAAGGGTCCCAGCATCGATCACTGGGGAACACCACTTTCAACTCATCTCTGATCTGAAAAGTGCCATCTATACCTACCCTTTTGTTGCCTATATTTTAGCCAACTTCTGATCCACACTGCCAAGGACCCATCAATCCCAAATATTTTAATGTGCTAGCCAAACTGCATGTCACACTGTTCAAGTACTTTCTGGAAGTCCAAATATTAACTTGTTTAATTGTGTCTGTTTACCTTAACTCAAATTATGGTCTCCATCAGTTTTCCTACTATTGAAGTCAAGCTGACAGCTCAGAAGTTCCCTGGGTTATCCATTACCCCATTTATAAACAATGGCATAGCATTTGTTCAGGGAGGCCTGGAAAATTTCTGTCATTGGCTTCACAATTTGTTCCTTTACCTCATTTAGCAATCTAGAATACATGCCATCTGGACCTGGCGACATCTTCACCTGGAGTGCTTCCAGCCTTTTTTAATACCTCTTTATCTTTCTTTATCCTGCTCAGTTGCTGAACACCCACATTTTCAACTGGGCCATTGTCACCATTTTCTAATTTGGTAAAGACAGAAGTAAAGTACTTATTTAGTATCTCTGCCATATCCTTTGCTTCAGTGAGCTACTTACCCCTTATGAGACCCACTCTGTACTTCATTAATATTTTACTATTAATATTTTTGAAGTACATTTTGCTATTTGTTTTAGCGTAGCCTGCCATCCTTTCCTCATTGTGGGCAAATGGAACTAGCTGAGTGGGCACCATGATCAGCATAGACCACTTTGGGCCGAAGGGCCTGTTTGCATGCTGTATTACTCTATGACTGCATGTGTCCTCTTAGCCTTCCTTATTCCAGCCTTCATCTCGCTTTTTCATTTGAGGTGCTTTCCTGATTTCTATGGAACACTGATTATCGTATGCATCATATACCTCCTTTTCTTCCAAATTATTTCATCAATATGCTTAGTCATCCAGGATATTCTAGCTTTGGACGCTATTTATTTCTCGTGGTTATGTACCTATCTTGCACCGTATTAATCTTTGCTCTGAAATTCTGCCATTTTTCATCCACTCCTTTATCCACCAAAATGCCTGCATCAGTTCAACCTTTAGACCCCTAAAACCTGCCCTTTTCCAGTCTGCAATCTTAATCATTGACTGATTTTTATCCTTTTCCAACTTAATATTGAACATTATTATATTATAATCATTAGTTCCCAAATGCTGTCCCACCCTGATGCTCTTCACTTGCCCTGCCTCAATTCGTGGAACCAGACCCAGTATAGTACTTCCCTGGCAGGACTGGAATTGTACTGTTCTGGAAAGTTCTCCTGCACATGTTGTAGAAATTTGTCCTCTTTCATGCCCCATACTCTACCTTTTTCCTAGTCTACCCTGGAGTAATTGAAATCACCAACTGTCATTAATCCTACTTGTCCTGCAAATTTCCGTAATCTGCCTACAAATGCTTTCTCCTAATTCCTCTCCACTAGTTGGAAGTCTGTAATAAATATCCTCTCATGATCTCATTGTTCCCTTTAAAATGAATTGTGGCAGCCTGTATATAAATTTCCAACATGTGCTGATTGTTAGAAACACAAGTTCAGAAAGTTTCCCTGAAGTGATTTATTTTTGTCTTTATAGGAGGCAAGGGGCTTTTAGACATACAGCCACATTGGGTTTCTGCTCTTGCCTGGCCTGAAGAAGGTCCAATTGCAAGCTGGGCTGGTGACACTTTAGAAGTTCTTCTTGTAGGACGAATGGATGGATCTCTTGGACTCATTGAGGTAGTGGATTCATCTACCATGCACCGTCTTGAACTTGAGCACTGCTACAGAAAAGATGGTAAATTATGCCTTAATTAGCCATTACCATTTATAGCCATTATCTGTTACGAGATGCTGATCCTCCTCCAGATCATTCCATCACTCTGATCATATCCTCCGTTTTGTAATTGACAGTCCCCAATGGAATATTTTTGAACATTATAATGTCTTGAAATTGACTTTGATTGCATGGAAAATTTCTTATACATTGGACCAAAAAATGTTTCAAACTAGGAAAGAAAATTTCATATGATTTCATTGTGTTCAAGCACAGTGTTCTTCTTAACTCTCCTGGGCCAGAAACAGTTTCAGTTTGATCAATTAAGCCTTAGCTTCTGCTAAATATCAACCCTGAATGTTAACCATGATGTGGAGATGCCGGTGTTGGACTGGGGTGGACAACGTCAAAAAGCGCACAAACCAGGTTGTACTCCCAACAGGTTTATTTGAAGACACAAGCTTTCGGAGTCTCACTTCCTCTTCAGGCGTCAGTGAGAGAGTTGGCATCAGACACAGAATTTATAAGCAAAAGATCAAAGGGTCATAGAACTAATGCAAATGTATTGAACAAACCTAAGATGGCTATTAAAGTTTTAATCAGTTAGAAAGGATTAATATGCAAGTCCCAGAATTTCTTTCAAGTCACTGCCCCGAGATAACTAAAGGTTTTAGCAGTATGCCAGAGGTGACATCTCGGGTCAGACAATGTATTTTAGGTGTGAGGCCTTGTTTAGAATCTGGCTGTGTATTAACTTGGAGTCAGACTGGCTTTATTTGCAAAGTAAGAATTTATAAAATGCCACATTGGCTGTCTACAAATTGTGTACTGTTTCAACAAAATACATGAACCTTTGATCTTTTGCTTGTAAATTCTGTTAAATCTCAGCCACTTTGTCTAGAGAAGCCCTGACCCATATTCTCAATTTCACTATATTTCTAGAACATCGAACAGTACAGCACAGGAACAGGCCCTTCAGCCCACGATGTTGGGCTGAACCTGATGCCAAATTAAACTAATCATTTCTGCCTGGCCTTGGTCTATATCGCTCCGTTTCTTGCATATTTATTCATTTGCTTATCTAAAAGTCCTTAAATATCCCTATTGCACCTGCCTCCAACACCATCCCTGGCAGCACATTCCACACTCCTATCACTCTTTGTGTAAGAGCTTGCCCCCTCACATTTCCTTTGAACTTGGCCCCTTTGACCTGACATGCATACCCCCTAGTATTAGACATTTCAACTCTGGGGGGGAAAAAGATTCTGACCATCAACCCTATCTATGCATCTCATAATTTTATAGACTTCTATCAAGTCTCTCCTCAGCCTCTGCCGCTCTGGAGAAAATTACCTGAGTTTTTCTAGCCTCTCTTTATAGCTCATTGCATCTAATTCAGGCAGTTCTAGTTTTGACATTTGCAAATTTTGGAATTGTGCTCTGTCTAAATCACAAATAAACTTCATGAACATTTTGACAAAACCGTTTATTGTTGCAGCCAGGAAAGAATGCATTTATACGAACATTTTTTTTTCCCTGCTTTGTCCACTTACGTGGTGTGAATTTATAACAAGCTGATGTATGTCATATGTGATGAATGTAAGTTCCAAATGTCTGTGTTCTTGCAATGTTCAAGAATCTCTATCTGGTCTTTAATTGAGACCACAATTGAGGGTGTAGCCTAGAAAAGATGCTATAAGCCAGCATGACTGGAGATGATCACCTAATACAGATGTTAGAGTTGAAAGGATTAATATCATCTTGTTTTTCTTACCATTTGGAAGTGGGACATCTTTAAACAATATTAAAGATCTAAGTCACCAATTACAGCTTTTAAAAATATGCTGGTTTTCTATAATGAATTACTTAAACCTTTTTCTAGGAGCAAATTACTGCAGGTCATCACAGAATCCCTGCAGTGTGGAAGCAGGCCTTTCGACAGTGACCCTCTGAAGAGTATTCTACCCAGACCCACTCCATACCCTATTCCTGCATTTGCCAAGGCTAATCCACCTAACCTATGCATCCCTGGACATTATGGGCAATTCACCTTAACGGCCAATCTTTGGACTGAGGGAGGAAACCAGAGCACCTGAAGGAAACCCACGCAGACACGGGGAAAACATGCAAACGCCACACAGTCAGTCACCTGAGGGTGGAATCAAACCCAGGGACCTGGCACTGTGAGGCAGCAGTGCAAGCCACTGTGCCACCATGCTGCTGGAATCTGAACTGAAAACAATAAATGTTGGAAATTACAGAGCTGATGAGTCATCGAGACTCAAAACGTCAGCTTGCTGTCTCTCCACGGATGCTGCCTAACCCTCTGAAATTCCCAGCATTTTCTGTTAAACCTTTTCCTCTTTGTTTATTTTTGCAGTTTTTAGGATTTCCATTTGCCTGTCAAAGTGCTGTTGTAAAATATCTTACAATGATCACCTCTATGAGAGTCCTGTATTTACAATTTTTGTTTGCTGCCTTTAGTTGCAGTAACAGCCATTGCTTGGTATACTGAAGATAAGCCATTTGCAGTGGGATATGCAGATGGAAAAATACTGATTGGCACGAAAGAGCCTCTGGAGAAGGGAACAGTTGTTATGATTGATGCATACAAGGTAGGTTAAAATCAGCAGGAATTCTGAGGCTAAGTTATAATTCTAAATTGCTGCATTTCTTTATCCCCTGCCCCTAGCTCAAAGAGTACAGCACAGGAATAGACCCTTCAGCCCATCATGTCTCTGCCTAACATGATGCCATTCTAAACTAATCCCATTTCCCCATCAGCTTGCACCTTTTTTGAGGCACCCAGCATTACCTACTTCATAATGTCAACATGAGCCCAATCTTACCATCATCCCATATCCTTTGTGGTGAATACAGATGCAAAGCACTCATTAAGGGCTTCACCCACTTCCTCTGGCATTATGTATAAATTCCCTCCTTTGTCCTCGAGTGGACCTATCCTTTCCCTAGCTACGCTGTTGCCCCTAATGTATAAAATGTCTTGGGATTCTCCTTAGTCCTACTGGCCAAGGACATTTCATGGTCCCTTCTAGCCTTTGTTATTTAAATTCTTTTCTGCTTTCCTTATACTCCTCGAGGGCCTTGATTCATGTCAGTTTCCTGAACCTTAGATTTGCTCCCTGTTTTTTGACTGACTAACCTTTCAATTTCTCTTGGCACCTAAGGCTCCTGAATCTCACCATCCTTATCTGTCATCCTTACAGAAACATGCTAGTCCTGAATGCTGATCCACTGGCCTTTAAAAGACTCTCATATGTCATATGTCGATTTCGTCATCAAACAACTGCCCCCAATTGAATTTCTCCAGGTTGTGCCTAATACTGTTATTAGCCTTCCCCAAATTTAACACTATCTTGCCTGAAACATCTAAACCTGGAATGTTGAGCTGCCAGTCGTGCCCTTCTCCCAACCAAGTTTCTGTAATCCCATGTACTAATTCGCGCTCTGAGCTCATCTGCCTTACCTGTTATATACCTTGTGCTAAAATAAATACACTTCAGACTGCCGGTCCCGCCATGTTCATTAACTTGGTCCTGCCTGTTCTCCCTATTAGACTTAGTTGACTTAACATTGACCTTCTCCTCAATCACTCCATATGCTGCTCTATTTCCCTCTCAAGTGGGCCATGAGCAAACCTCCCTGCGAGGATATTGGTGCCCCTCCAGTTTAGGCATACCTGCCCTCCTTGTACAAGTCCCATCTGCCCCAGAAGAGATCCCAATGATCCAAATTTCTGAAGCCCTCCCTCCCCCACCAGCTCTTTAGCTGTATATTCAGCTGTATTACCCTCCTCTGTCCGGCCTAACTAGTGTGTGGCACCAGGAATAATCCTGTGATTACAACCCTAGAGCTCCTGCTTTTCAACTTTGCACCTGACTCCATAAATTCCCTTTTCGGGACCTCGTCTCTTTCTTCCAATGTTGTTAATACCAACGTGAATCGAAACCCCTAGCTGCTCAACGTCACCTTTCAAAATGTCCTGTGGCCGCTCAGAGGAGCCTTTGACCCTGGCATCAGGGAGACAGCACACCATCCTAGAAATGTTCGTGACTGTGGCATCTTGGAGCTCTCCTGGGATGCTGTCCACTTTCCAGATAAAGCAGACAAGGACATGTAGCTGCAGCAGGAGCTCCTTGCCGCCTCCACTTCAGTGCCTCAGCAGGGGAACTCTGTTTCAGCAGCCTTGTTGTTCGTAAACTGGTAGACGGCCTTATATATTTCGTGCAGAGCTGGTGTGTTGCCAAGCTTGTGGTATGTTGCACACTGTGGGATGTGGTTAAGGACACTCAGATCGACAACAGAGCCCTGGCTGAGGAGGTCTCTAAAACGCTTCACTCAGCATTATTTGATGGCTTCTTTGATAAGAGTTACTCCATCCTTGGCCAACAGTGGGGTAGAGTCTTGGGTATTTGACCCCTAAGGGGATCTTTACAGCACAGAAGAAACCCTGCACATCACCATTGTTGGCCATTCAGTGGGCTCCAGTGCTTTCCTCACCCACCACCTATTCTTTATATCACGGGTTTGCCATGAAGCCACAGGGAACTCCTACACTGGCTATGCTTAATAATTTTCATGCTGGTCACCCAATGCATTTCTGTCTGTGTGGCCCTTACTTGTGGTGTTACCTATTCACTAAATATGCTATTCATGAGATTCTCAGCCTCGTGCTGTCCAGTGAGTCCATCTGGAGCTCCAGCTGCTCTGTGGTAAATCAAGAGCTGAGCTGAACAGACTTCCTGCATCCCCCTCCAATCTCTGCCCTTTATTCACTGTGATCAGTCATGCTTTGTGGTGACTCAAAGTGCAAAATAGCTGCAGGTTGTGTGTGTCTGAGCTGATAGATTTTGATAACGGAATAACGAGGTGACAGTAATGATCTTGCAGTTTCTTTTTCTGGAGATTAATACAATGATGAAAAATGGGGCAACTATTGAAAGTGTTGGATAAGTTAAGGGTTTTAAAGCTGTCATAGTTGTATTCATAGTGGATGAAGTTCAATGAAAATTGACTGTAATATTAGTAGTTATATTGAGAAGTAGGCAGGATGAGGATTGTGGACAAGAAAATTATATTCTTTTTTAACAGGAAGAAGGCAAAGAAGTTTACGTTTATTTGAAGTGAGAACCTTCAAATGGTGTGTGGATTAGGAGCAAGGGAAGAGTGGATCTATGAGCAAAATGACCTTTATATTACCACAGCCCTTGCTGTTGGTACTGGATTACCAGCGATATGTCACGATAAGGGACATAATTTTACAAGGACCAGAAACATCATTATTAACAATAATGGAGCTGTGTGAAACCTAGATAGCTTATCAAGTGAACCATCTAAATGCTGCAAAATGAGGACATCCTGAAATCAATCAATGAATAGCATTTTTCTCTTACCCTTAGCAAAAAAGTGCCTGGCTGTTCCTCGGTCTGAGTTTTAGTTTGTGATTCCATAGCACACCAGAAATATGTCAGCATGGTGGATGAGGGAATGGTACAAGGCCTGTGATAAGGATTGTTGTGGTAAAGTGGTAGTGCACCTACCACTGCAGAAGGAGACCTGGGTTTAAGTCTCACCTGCTCCTTGTGGAGATGAAGTCCCGCCGTCACATTGAGAATAACCTCCATCATGTTATGTGGCACTATTCCCGTGCTAAACGGGACAGACTTCGCACAGATCTAGCAACTCAAGACTGGGCATCCATGAGGTGGCGTTGGCCATCTACAGCAGCAGAACTGTACTCCAGCACAATCTGTAACCTCATGGTCCGGAATATCCCCCACTCAACCATTACTATCAAGCCAGGGGTTCACCCGTGGTTCAATGGAGAGAGCAGGAGGGCGTGCCAGGAACAAGGTGGCAGATTTCCTTCCCTGCAGGACATTAGTGAACCAGATGGGTTTTTACGATAATCAGAATGGTGATCAGTGGATTCCAGACATTTTTTTAAATTCTTGAATTCAAAGTCCACCAGCTGCAGTGGTGGGATTTGAACCCAGGTCCCCAGAACATTGGCTGGGTTGCTGGATTAATAGTCTAGCGATAATACCACTAGACCATCACCTACCCATGTTCTCTGCACTGTATATGGACAGATTGATCTGAAAGAAAAGCCTACAGTTTGGTTCACCATTCATTTTGATGGTTGACAAGCAGTACCGGCAGTGTCTTTGATGCATGTATATCATATAAATGTATTCAGAATGTAATTTGAATATCCTTGTTTTAGTTCTAAAATATTTGACAGTATTACTTTATTTAACTGTTCCTCTATAACTCTATCACTGCTCTTTTCCAGCATGTCCATGTATGCTCCACCAATTAACAAGGACACCCACCTTAATCTCTGGAGTTGATGAACAGTGCAGCCGTGAGGAGCCCAAGGGCTTCTTTCCTTGCTGTAAAACTCTGACTCTCTCCTCTTTCCTGCACATTGTGTATATTTCTTGATTCGGTTGATTTTTGTGTTCACCTCTGAAACTCTCTTTGCCACTCAATTATCATCTTATTGCAAATATTTACCAAAAACTGTGCACCCCAAAGTTAGAGAAGTGAGCTTTTCAACTTCACGCTAGTTACAAGATTCCCTGCGCCTTTGTTACATTATTTTATTTGTTTTCTCTCCAAAAATTGCACTCAGACTTTGCAAACCCTTATGTTCTTGCAATTTTGCTCAGGTTTCATTTGGTTTAATTCTTAACAAATGTGGGTAACTTTGTTCTTCTGATGACTGGAGAACTGTTAGGTCATTAGTGTTATGTGAGTATTTGTTAATCTTTCTTGTTACAAAAGTATATTGCAAAACAATCCATGACAAAGATAGCAAGATAACTTTTAAAGTGAACAAACTGGTTGACAAGTTTATTTCTGAAAATAATAGAAATTTTGCAATGCTTAGAAGTAAAAGAATCTAATCCTGGTATTCTGTTGCCCTACTCTAACCCTTAAACTAGGAAAGCATCACGTGTATGAAATGGGACCCTTTAGGGATGATGCTCATGACTTGTGCCAAAGAAAGCATTGTGAAACTGTGGAGTTTTATTGCTGGAACCTGGCAATGTCTGCATAAACTATCTCATCCGGCTATGGTGAATCATGTTGCCTGGTGTAGTCAACTAGGAAAAGGTTTCAAGTTGCAGCTCATGCTGGCTAGGTGGGTATAACATTTTCTTCATTCAAACCGTTAATTGTTGGTGAAAATGTTTGACTTTGATGAATATGTGTGTTTATTTGGTAAGGAGTTGATCCTGAAAATGTTATTTTAATCAACTTCAAGGATATTGTTGCGGAAATAATCCTTCACCTGATGTTGTTTCAATATGCCACAATGCCATGTCCAAATGTTCTATGTTACTTGCTGGCTACTTGCAAATGTATTATTTATAAATAATGCGTTATTCCGTTAAACCTACTGGGTTTCTGCATGCAACATTTAGATTTATGGTGCTAAATGGGTGAAGCATCCAAATATCTGATCTCTTGGTCTAGTTTAATTTGAGACTGTTGGTGAGGAAATGAGTCATATGACTCGCAAAATCCTCTTAAGAACCAACCCTGCAAAGTCAAAATGCGAAATGGAAGTATGCAAAGATATTTAGCATAGACAGGATATTGCAAAAGCAAATCAGAGGATGGCTGAGAGTCATCACAGTGGATTTCTGGGAGACATTGCCACAGTCATCACGACTGTACAGCAGGTCAGAGACAACTCGGTGTCAGGATATGGTTAAACCTGAAACACTGCATTGGTGTTTCCCACTGTTCCCCCTCCTCTGACCCAAAAAGAAAAACTCTGAGGAGGACAACTGGCAAGGTAAAGACGTACAAGGGAGCAGCCATTAAGAGAGTGTTACAGTGGAAGTGCTGAGGCCTTTGCTCGAGAGGTTTCGGCGTGAGGAGACTGAGCAAGGGGTACTTTCTTTCTGTCTAGACTGAAGGCAGTAGGGATGGCAGTTAGGGTAGTCATATGCTCCTCTTGCAGGATTTGGGAGATCAAGGAGACTTCCTGTATTCTGGGTAGCTACACCTGTGAGAAGTGCACCCAGCTGCAGGTCCTGACAGACCGCGTTTGGGAGCTGGAGCTGGATGCAATCAGGATCATCCCGGGTGCAGGGAACATCATTGATAAGAGCTCTTGTGAAGTGGTCATTCCAAAGGTGCAAGTTGCAGCTAGCTGGGTGACCACCAGAAAAGCCAAGGAGGCCAGGCAGATAGTGCAGTGTTCCCCTGTGGCCATTCCCCTCAATAACAGTTATACCGCTTTGGATATTGTTAGGCAATGATGACCTTTCAAGAGCTAGCAGCAGCAACCAGGTCACTGTGACTGGCTCTGAGGGTCAGAGGGAAAAAATGCAGTCAGACAGAGCGATACTGATGGGAGACTCAATTATGTGGGAGACAGACAGGAGATTCTGTAGCTGCAGGAGAGACTCCAGGATGGTGTGTTGCTTCCTGGGTGCCAGGGTCAAGGATGTCTCTGAGCGGTTGCAGTGGGCGGCAAGGTGGCTCAGCGGTTAGCACTGCAGCCTCACACCACCAGGGACGTGGGTTCGATTCCATCCTCGGATGACTGTGGAGTTTGCACATTCTCCCCGTGGGTTTCCTCCAGGTACTCCGGTTTCCTCCCACAGTGCAAAGGTGTGCAGGTTAGGTCGATTGGCCATGCTAAATTGCCCGTAGTGTTCAGAGATGTGTAGAATAGGTGGGTTATAGCGGGGTGGATCTGGGTGGGATGCTTTGAGGCTCAATGTGGACTTGTTGGGCCAAAGGGCCTGTTTCTACACTGTAGGGATTCTATGATTCTGAAGGGGGAGGGTGAACAGCCAGAGGTCATTGTGCACATTGGTACAAATGACATAGGTAGACAAAGGGTTGGGGTTTCCTGTAAAATGAGCATAGAGAGTTAGGTGAGAAGTTAAAAAAGCAGGACCTTAAGGGTAGTGATCTCCCAATTACTCCTAGTGCCATGCGCCAGTAAGGATAGAAATAGAAAGATAGGCCAGAGGAGCAAATGTAGAGGGCAGAGTTTTCAGTTCTTGGATCATTGGAATCTCTTCTGGGGTAGAGGTGACCTCAACAAGAGGGACATGTTGCACTTGAACTGGAGGTGTTCCAATATCCTTGTGGGGAGATTTGCTAGTGTTACCCGGGAGGGTTTAAACTAGTTTGGCGGGGGTTGGGACTCTGAATAAGAGTGGGGCTATCGAGAAGTCAGGGAAAAATACATTATCCAACGAGAGCAAGTTTACTATTCAGGATAGCCAGGGGCAGAGAAAAGGGAGGGAAAAGACTCCTGGTTTAAAGTGCATTTATTTCAACGCACAAGGCATACCTGGTAAGGAAGATGAGCTCAGAGCATGAATTGGCTCTGGGGCCTGGGATATTATAACCATAACAGAAACATGGCTGAGAGAAAGGCAGGACTGGCTGCTCAATGTTCCAGGATACAGAAGCTACAGGCGTGACAGAAGTACAAGTAAGTGAGGAGGGGGAGTTGCCCTTTTGATAAGGGAGGAAATAACAACAGTGTTTAGAGAGGATATTCTTAAGGGGTCATCAAATGAGGCCATGTGGTTAGAATGTAGAAACAAAGGGATGGTCCCTCAGTTGGACTGTATTATAGACCACCAAATAGCCAGCGGGTACTCGAGGAGCAGATGTGTGGAGAGATTGCAGATACCTGAAGGAATAATAGAGTAGTATTGATTGGAGATTTTAATTTCCCCTGTATTGACTGGGCTACCGAGGGTGTGAAAGTCTTGGACGCAGTGGAATTTGTCAGATGTGTCCAAGAAAGTTTCCTAAATCAATATGCGTAGGGCACAACTTGGGAAGGTGCAACACTGGACCTCCTCTTAGGATACAAGGTCAGGCAGAGAGCACTTTGGCTCTGGTGACCGTAACACTTTGTTTTAATATAGTTGTTGAAAAAGATAGGATAGGTCCACAGGTTAAGGTGCTGAACCAAAGCAGGGCCAATTTTTGGGCCAATAGACAGGATCTAGCAGAGGTCAATCGGGTGAGTCTGTTTCAAGGAAAAAGAACGACTGGCAAATGAGAGGCTTTTAAAAGTGTGATGTCAAGAGCCCAGGGACAGTATGTCTCTGGTAGGGTGAAGGAAAAACTGGCAGGATTAGGGATCCCAGGTTGACGAGGGACGTTGAGGTTCTCGTCAGGAAAAAAAAGGAAGGTATACATTGGGTTTACCTATCGGTTCAAGTGAATCCCTAGATGACTATAAAAAGTGTCAGAGCACACTTAAGAGGGAAAACAGAAGAGCAGAAAAGAGGGTATGAGATGGATCTGGCAGATAATGTTAAAGATAATCCCAAGAGGTTCTATAGCTATATTAAGAGTAAAAGGGTGGCTAGGGAGAGAATAGGTCCCCTTAAAGATCCACACATAGCCATCTATGTGTGGAGCCACGGAAGATGGGGGATTTTTAATGAATGTTTCTTCTCAGTGAGGAAACAATCATGGATGCTAAGGAAATAAGGGAAACAAGTGGGGATGTTTTGGACCGCATACATATTACCAGAGAGGAGTTGTTTGCAGCCTTAGAGCACATTAAGGTTGATAAATCTCCTATGCCTGATCAAGTCCATCCTCGGACGTGTGGGAGGCTAGGGAAGAAATTGCAGAGGTCTTGCAGAGATTTTCGCTTCATCTTCAGCCGCTGGTGAAGTTTCGGAAGACTGGAGGGTGGCAGATGTTGTTCTGTTGTTTAAGAAAGGTAGCAAAGACAAGCCAGGGAGCTACAGGCCAGTGAGCCTCACATCAGTGGTAGGCAAGTTATTGAAGAGGTAACTAAGGAACAGGATCATTCGAGATTTGGATAGTCAAGATCTGGTTACGGATAGTCAGCATGGATTTGTGTACAGGAAGTCATGGCTGACAAACCTTTTTTAGAGGTTTTCAAAGAGATAACTAACAGGCTAGATGAGGGTACGGCATTGGATGTTGTCTTTCTGGACTTTAATAAGGCCTTTGACAGGGTCTCACATGGCAGGCTAGTCGTGAAGGTTAGGTCGCATGGGATCCAGGGAGAACTAGCTAACTGGATTCAAAATAGGGCTCGATGGTAGGAAGCAGTGGGTGATGGTTGAAGGTTGTTTCTTGGACTGGAGGCCTGGGAGTAGGGGTCCACAGGGGTCCCTGCTGGGACCTTTGTGATTTGTGATTTACATAAATGATGTGGATGTGAATGTACAAGGCACCATTAAGTTTGTGGATGATAAAAGATTAGGAGGTATCATTGAAAGCAAGGAAAGCTATCAAAAAATTACCAAGGGATCTTGGTAAGATGAAGAAGTGGGCTGAGGACTGGCAAGTGCAATTCAATATTAATAAGTGTGAGGTGTTGCATTTTGAAAAGTCAAACCAAGGTGAGACTTACACAGCAAATGGTAAGGTCCTGAGAAATGTTGTGGAGCATAGGGAGCTAGAAGTACAAGTATGTAGTTCGTTGAGAGCGGCATCACAGGTGAAAAGGGTGGTGAAGAAGGCATGTCACGTGCTGGCCTTCATCGGTCAGGGCATTGAGTATAGGAGTTGTTATGTTACAGTTGTATAAATCGTTGGTGAGGCCGCACTTGGAGTATTGTTTTGGTCACCCTGTAAAAGGAAAGACACAGTTAAATTAGAATAACAAGGTGTGTAGAGCTGGATGAACACAGCAGGCCAGACAGCATCAGAGGAGCAGGAAAGCTGACATTTCGGGTCTGGGCCCTTCTTCAGAAATGGGGGAGGGGAAGGGGACTCTGAAATAAATAGAGAGAGGGGGAGGCGATGATGGAAGATGGATAGAGGAGCAGATAGGTGGAGAGAAGATGGACAGGTCAAGGAGGTGGGGATGAGGCCAGTAAAGGTGAGTGTAGGTAGGGAGTTGGGATGGGGGTTGGTCAGTGAAGTGGGAGGAGCGGATAGGTGGGAGAAAAGACGGACAGGTCAAGGAGGTGGGAATGAGATGGGCTGGCCTTGGGAGGAGGTCGGGGGAGGGGAGATTTTCAAGCTTGTGAAGTCCACATTGAGACCGTTGGGCTGCAGGGTTCCCAAGTGGAATATGAGGTGCTGTTCCTCCAGCCTTCGCGTGGCATCGTTGTGGCACTGGAGGAGGCCCTGGATGGACATGTTGTCCAAGGAGTGGGATGGGGA